TCCCTTTCAGGGGACATGGCCAGTTAGTCCTGGACCTGCCTTCCTCCCCTGCCGGGTCGGGGAAGCGGGGGATTTCCTCTGTCAGCTGAAGACTAGATTTAGATATCCATCGTGCCGAGGTGTCAACACCCTCCCGATTATTGGCAGTTGCACGACCTACCAGCTCGTAATTAAACTCCTGCCTGGTCCTGCAGAAGAGATCGCTGCGGGTTGGCCATCCTCTGCGTAAACTATGAAAGTAGATACAGTCTGGTTGTATATTTGGGCATGTTATGTTTTTGCAGTTTAGTAATTGAGTGTCGCAGTTAGGTTAATCATTTTTAGGACTTCAGTGGCATCGAGGGGCAGAAAGGACACAGATCACACTGAAATTCCTCCGTGGAAGAAAAAACTTTAAATATAGAAGGATTTGTTAGTTGCCTAGAGAAGGCTATGAGGCAGTGGTTCTCAAAGTCTGGTGCATATTAGCATTGCCTAGGGAGTTTACCTAAAATGCAGTTACTGTCCTAGCTGGTTTTTCTCAGTGGTTAGAGCATTGACCTATGGACTGAAGGGTCGTGGGTTCAATTCTAGTCAAGGACACGTACTTCGGGTTGCAGGCTCGAGGCCAGGGCATGTGCAGGCGGCAACCAATCAATGTGTCTCTCTCACATTAATGTTTCTCTCTTTCTCTCTCTCTGTCTCTCCCCCTCCCTTCCACTCTCTAAAAATCAATGGGGGGAAAATATCCTCATGTGAGGATAAATAAAAATGCAGTTACCCACTGCCCACCCCAGTAGGTTCTGATTTGGTAACTTGGAGTATAACTTAAGCATCTGTGTTTTTTTTAATATATTTTATTGATTTTTTTTTACAGAGAGGAAGGGAGAGGAGAGGGATAGAGAGTCAGAAACATCAAGTAGAGAGAAACATCGATCAGCTGCCTCCTGCACACCCCCTACTGGGGATGTGCCCGCAACCAAGGTACATGCCCTTGACCAGAATTGAACCTGGGATCCTTCAGTCTGCAGGCCGACGCTCTATCCACTGAGCCAAACCGGTTAGGGCTTAAGCATTTAATTTTTGTTGTTCCCCTTTTTACCAGTGTCCACTAAATTTGAGAACAATGTTATAAGGAATGATAAGAGATGTAAAGGCCCACAATGTTTATAATGTGGTTCCAGGTTTTGAGCTAATACTGACTAAACAGGGGCCTGAAGAGCACAGAGCCCCTGCAGGGGCCTGTAGGCTGGGCACATGCCGCACAGCCTCGTTTATGGATGGGCATGTCACTGTTCCATCCGTTCCACTTGTGCTGGGCTGCATAGTCTTCTCTTTCAATTCATTGGCTACAGCTTGGCAAGAAGGGAGAACTTAGTGGTATAGGGCAGTAGTCGGCAAACTCATTAGTCAACAGAGCCAAATATCAACAGTACAACGACTGAAATTTCTTTTGAGAGCCAAATTTTTTAAACTTAAACTATTTAGGTAGGTACATTGTTATTAACTTAATTAGGGGACTCCTAAGCTAGCCTTAGCTAAAAACGTCCTCAATCTGATTGAGGTACGTTCACTGAGGTCGACCCCTTCCAACTCTCCCATCCACACTCGTCTTGTATACTTGTTTCGTCTATCTCCTTTCGTTCATCCTCTCTATATGTCCGCCCCCCACTTCTTCTAACGCCACTTCTTCAAAATAGACTTGCCCAGGCCGAAAACCGACTTCTCCGCATGGGCCACGAAGTTTCACTCACACTATACGTGTGCGCCCACACGTGGTATTTTGTGGAAGAGCCACATTCAAGGGGCCAAAGAGCCGCATGGGGCTCGCGAGCCGCGGTTTGCCGACCACTGGTATAGGGGGTAAGGAGGAAGGCCAAGCCCACCCTCCTTCCCACCATTCCAGTGAGGCCTTGACTGCGATGACTGCCGGAAGGGGCTGGTGAAAATATTGCCTGCTGCTCTTGGGCCCTTGCCCCAGGGCTCCTCATTGATGTTTCTAGCTCTCTCTTCCTCTCCTTTCCTCTTTGAAATCAATAATATATATATATTTAAAAAAGGAAGATTCTCTCTTTGTCTTTAGTGTTTTGCGTTTTGATTATGTGTCTTGGTGTGGGCTTCTTTGAATTCTCATACTGTTTGGGACTCTGCACTTGTAAGTCTTCTTCCTTTATGGTTAGGGAAATTTTCTATCATTTTTCCAAATAGGTTTTCAATTTCTTGCTCTCTCTTTTTTCCTTCTGGCACTCCCAAGATGCGAATGTTGGTATGCTTGAAGTTGTCCCAGAGGCTCCTTACACTGTCTTCATTTGGGAGATTTTTTTTTCTTTTTGCTCTTCTGTTCGGTTCCTTATAGTTCAGATCACTAAAGAAAATTCTTGAAAGTTACAGGCTTACAGAATAGATCTCAGACTCGTCGGCATAGCCTTCACAGACATTGACACGCCAGGCTCATAGCCCATAACTTCCCATCCCGAAATGTGCTTTTGCTGTTCCACGCTGCCTGGAATGTACCTGCAACCTGGCCGTCCAACTCACATTCACTTCCATTACCTGTGCCCAGCCACTCATTCTTCAAGATCCAGCTCAATGCCAGGCTCTCCCTCTGCCAGGAGTTGTGCCCACTGCTGGTAACGCACCTCCCACACTGTGCTGTACTATGTGGGGTCTGCCCCTCTGTCCCACCCCTCTCCATGCTGCACTGATGGGCCCAGGACCTGGTTTCTGTATCCTCAGGCCCCAGCACAGTGCCTGCAGAGGTGTCCTCGGGGAATGTCTGCTGTCTTGAAATTGAACTGCATGAGGCCAGAATTTAGAAACCCAAAGTTATTCAACATAATCTATGTTAAAGTGCCCAAACAAAGATGTATGAAATGTATCGGCTTGATGCTGGCTTTTTTATGATTTCCAGTATCTTCATCAAATTAATTCAGTGAGTTAATCTATAAAAAGTTCATCTTCAAGACCATCATCAGACCACAGAATTAATCTACTGAACTGCTGCTGCTTTTTTTAAAGGATTAATGGTAACCCTTTTTATCTTTTGTGTCTGTTGAACCTTAGAAAAAAGTTATTTTAACAGCACTAAAGAAATGAAAGTCACTATATTTCATAAGTTTAGCCTGTGATTTTTATCAGCATAGTGATGTATGTTTGTAGCTGAGTTTACATCAAAAATTATTCTTAGGGCCTTCTTGAATGAATTATGGCAGAGAGAGAGAGTCTAGAAGTAGATAAGGTTTTTGATTTCTGCAATATATTTCCTTTTTCATGTTTTTATCTCCTGTAACACAAGTGTCTTGCTGAAGACTAGAATGTGTGACCAACTAAAATAATTTCGTTGTGAACACAGAGCGAACGTGTTATTAAACAGCCTTCTTCACAAAAAGGGAGGATAATGAAGTTGTTCCTGGTCTTACTTGAGACGTGTTTGTCAGGATTTTGAACAAAAAAAGAAATGATTTTTAAAAACCTTCAAATATGGCCAGTTTGCAGTGTTTATTGAGAAAGCTGCTGTCAAACCATTAATTTGGTCGTCATAAGGAACACAACTCAAGTTTAATGGATGCCATATCCGAAAAGTGTGCGGACAGCTGACTTGGCAGAGGGACTGAGCATTAGCACCTGCAGTGAAACGCATAATTCCGTCCATTGTGGGCCAGAGGGACCAGGCCCCTGAGCCAGGCTCCATAACGAGCAGCTCTGAGGCTCTTTCCCACCTGACTTCTCCCTCAGGCCGTGCTCTCGGAGGGAAGGTTTGGTGCGCTGTCCCTGGAACTGAATGACTAAATGGATACACGCCTTTTTAAAAATTGGACGTGTAAACATGGACTCTTAAAAGACTTAGTTGAGGAAGTCTGGGTCTCAGAAGTGCAGAAATTAAGAATAATTTCCGCCTTCCTAGACTTAAAAAAAAAAATAGCATTTGCTGCCATGGTTATTCACATCAGTGATTGCTCAGAGTTTGCCACTCCTAAGGGTATCCTTTGCTGTTTTGAAGGATGTCACAAACCTCTAAGAGAGGGATTAATTTTAACTGAACAAAAATGTGTATGGCACCTAGGAAAGGAGACTGTTTCCATACCAGAAGCTACCATGGTTAAATGATCTGAGAGAAATAACTCTCCATTGTCACACAGGTCTCGCCTAGGCTTGAAATACAGTAGGCTCTCTCTTTAAGTGCTTGCCTCGAATTCCAACACTGAAACAAAGGCAAGGGACCTACCTTCCTGGGAAACTAGCGCCCATCTGAGACTCTCAGCTGTATTCAAACAAAGTACCAGGCTCGGCCAGGCCAGGTCTGCTTTTCTCATAAAAAGGTTGTGCAGGTTCAGTCTTTAAAGGAAGCAGCCTGTCATTAAGAAATTGGATTTAAACCTTAATAAAGTAGCTGTCGTCTATATAGCTGAAAAGAGCTCTGTATCTCAATTAAATATAGATAATATAAAATCTTAAGGAAGCAACATAATAGAGGTAACCTGATTACATTCTCTTGCAATAGTATAATTTAAAGGAAATCTGATTCTGCTGATGCTGGTTATGTTGGTGGGGGATTATTGGTTTGGGGTTTGTTTGTTTATTGGTTTGTTTTTGTCCGAAATACTGTTTGGCTACAGGGTAGGAACTCTGGGATTGAGTTAATACAACTGTGGGAGACTGGTCAGCCCCCCTCATGAATAGAATCT